CTTCCTAGCCCTCTGGAGGCCAGGTAGACCAGCAATTAATTTTCCTAAGGGGCCACATGAGAAACATGAAACAGGGACTATTGTGGAGGGTCTCCGCCGCACCACTGATATTGACATTGCCCCGCCTCTCTACCAATGCCCCGCCCCCACCACTGACACCCCACCCAACACTGCTGATGCCCCGCCTCCCCACTGCCGAATCTGCCAATACTGTGGGATGGACTAGAATTGCCCACAGGCTGGATATAGCCTACAGCAGGAGTGAAATCCAGCAGGTTCTGGAGAATGAGTAATGGAAATTTTGAGTAGTTGTGTAGTTCGGAGAACCGGCAAATACCGGCACCGGTAGAGCCCTGGTGGCACAGCAGACTAAAGCACTGTTATTAACATCAGCTGCCTGCAATTACTGCAAGTTCAAATCTCACCAGGCTCAAGGTTGACTCAGCCTTCCATCCTTTCTAAGGTAGGCAAAATGAGGACCCGGATTGTGGGGGCAATAAGCTGACTTTGTATACATATACAAAAGTATGAAGGCTATTGCTTAACGCATTGTAAGTCGCCCTGAGTCTCCGGAGAAGGCAGCATATAAATTAAATAAAAAAAAAAACCCACCTCTATCTGTCCCCAGAGTGGAGTGGGAATGGAGATTTTGCAATATCCTTCCCCCAGGTGTAGGGAGGGAATGGGGATTTTGCAGTATTCTCCCCTGGAGTGGGGTGGGAATGGAGATTTTGCAGTATCCTTCTCCTGCCACCACCGCCAAGCCACACCACGCCCACCACGCCATGCCCAGACAACAGATAGCAAAAAAAATTGGATTTCACTGCTGGCCCACAGGCCATAAAATGCCCAGGACTGAGGTAGACTGTCCCATCATTGGCTACCCGAGGGCAGTCAGCTAGCAGGAAGTTGGAAGGCACTCCCACTTCCAATGCATTTTTTCCATTGGTCATTCTTTTTCTCTGTTTAGGTAAGGAAATATTTCTGAAACAATGACCCAACAAGACAGGTTGTACAGGAATCTTTAAAATCAGGCTAAGAATAATATACTTTGCATAAAAACTAACTTCCAATATATCAAGAGATTTACATGTGATGTTCTGATGGTTTTGTATTTACTATTAAAAGCATGCATACAAAGGAGTTCATTGTTAGATGGAGGAAGAACTGTAGGCATGTTTAGAGAGGGTGGTTTAATCTCCCTTATTTTTTCAAGTTTCTACATTTCATGGAGTGAAAAACACATAGTACAGTATGAGAGTGTTATTAACTTTTACTAACATACAGTGCGGCTGTTTTTCAATCTTTGAGTACGGATTTTTAAAAATCTATTCATTACATGTACAATCAATATGCTGATAGATAAAACATTTTTCTTTCTATATGAATGATTATATGAATGAATTTTAAGTTACATAGCGTTTAAATATTTAAATTGTAAAGACAATTTAAGAAAACCAGATAGAATTTACTTTGTTCAAGTTTCAGGAAAAAAAATTGGCATGAGAAATATTTGATCCATAGACTAGTAAATGTACGGTAATCTCCCCAAGTAATCTAATAATCTTAGATGTGTATTCTGCAAATTGAGATTCATCATACAGAAAGAGGAAAGGCACCTGGCATCTTGAAACTTTTACTGGTATTAACAATTTCTTAAAATAAATGTAATGCAAGTGTAAATTTGAATAACAGCTCAAATTCAGAAAGCATATCATGGTTTTTTCTATGATACTAAAACCAATTTATGTTACTCTAGGTATATAGGTGGACCTTGTACATTGAATAAACCAAACTCAGTTATAATGTTGTTCAATATTTTTAATCTGGTAAAGAAATAGGAAGCAAATGGTAAGCTAATGAGGATTCCCCCCACCCTTTTCACCACACATTTTTAAAATCAGTCGTGATGTAATGCCTCATGAGATATAAAGCACTTCTATTCCTAATGTTTTCTGCAACTCTGGAATGAAACCCTTGTTTAATTCCCTTTTTGTGTATTATATCTGTATGAATAATATCAGTGCAATCCTCTTTGTAAAAGGCAAAAAAGGTCCCTTTGTATGTTCTTCAATGGTACAAAGCTGTCCTACAATAGTCTCTCAGTATTGCAGTTTTGATGATGCTTCCTCTTATTCATCATATGCTTTTACATCAAGAGCAAAATGAGTCTGGGGTCAGATTTCTAGATTTTGCTATCCAAGCCCCATAGTGATCAATCTCCAAACCGCGAATCCTGATTTTCCCTCCACACATATTGCCAGCCCACTTCTATTCAAAAAGTCACCCCCCAAAAAAGCAGGGCAGGGTTGACAACGAAGACAGCAAATGTTATGTCATTAGTGGATAGCACTTCAACTCAATAGTGAGGAAAGGCCATCAATCTTTCCCTATTAGCCTGCCAAGACTGGGCAGAGAGATGCTGCCAAGGAAACATGGCATAGTTAAGAGACAAAGGATAGTTACTCGGGCTGTAAAGGAGATGGGGATTGAGAATTGTACTTTGATAGTTGCAAGATTGATGCTGGCCTTGTGGTAGGAACAGATAGGAACTACAGCCACAACCAGATGAGCTATCTCTATGTTATTGTAAAAACTACACTGGATATTTCCAGCCTCTGCAGCTTGAGAAACTAGGGGAGTCTCTTCTGAGTATCTTGTCTCAAACACTATCTGTGTACAACACACAGCTGTGTGCTGTCTCTTGTCTGGCCATTCTCTTAGCCACATCTCTTTGCTGAGGCTCCTAAGGTCTTTTTCACATATAATTACACCTGCCATGTCTGAATATATAAAAAATATACACAACATTCTTTCACAAGGTTATTCCTAATAACCTACTTCAGCAAATATTCCACAACCTAGACTCTTCTATAATTAGGAGGGAATTATACAACCATATCCATATGTAACTATCTTCAACAGCTTTTTTATGACACCCTCTGTTATGGTTTAATCAATGCTGTTTATTACTCTCCTCCAAGGACAGGAGAGAGAAAAATTGGCTTTATGTCTCAGGAGGATCAGTTAATAATTAATGGGAAATTTGGTGTCTACGTGCACTTCCTTCATGGGAAGAAAGATGTCTATGTATGAAAAAATACACATAGGATGCTTCCACTGGGATGATGCCGATATATAGCCAATATAACACCCCCAAGAGTAGATCTGACTTTTAACCAATTAAGAGCACAGAAGCCTACAGTATGTCTGTACCATCCCAGTACAGTGTTGCAAATAGTGTTACAAATAATTCAAACAACAACTTGTAAGACACCGCATTTTGTTTGTATTGCCACATATGATATAGTTGTCATACAACAAGAATTGCCAATTTTCATTATAACTTTGCCTTGAGTTTGTATCTGTATTAAAATACCAGAGGAAGAATTTGATACCTACAGCTGAAACAAAGACAGCTGTTGTTAGAGCTTAAATTGGTCTCATTAAGACCACAATGAACCACATTAATTAAAGAAAAAAAAAGTTCTCAGTGTTTGCAGAATGCTTTGCATTCACAAGTGAGGAGCTAAAGAAAACTTCCATGTATTGGGATTTTGGAAGTTATTTATATTGCAGAGAAAATAAGTTAAGATAAACTGGTTTTCCTTTATCTTCTTTCTCGAAAGTCATTCAAATTGTCACATTCTTCAAAATCTTAATCCTTAAAAATCTATTTTCACAAATCTTTATTTATTGAGCCCAGTTCATACAACAGGCTAAGCCATCACTTATTAAATGAATCACAAATCACAGTGGTTGCTTTCAGATTAAACTCTAAGCAAAGTCAACACATTTTAGCTTTGCATGATATCTGTGTCTCAAAGATGTACATATAATTGTAACATTGACATTTCTACCATTCCACCTCTCACTTTCCTAGCTGGCAAACATTAACCAAACACCTACACTTTTTATCCAAAGTATTTGCAGTAAATATCAATCACAACTCCCTAAACAATCTAAAGAGAATAGGTAAAAGCAGAGACAATACAGATAGTCCTCAATTTACAACAGTTCATTTAGTGACCATTCAAAGTTACAACAGCATTGAAAAAAAGTTACTTATGACCATTTTTCACGTGACTGTTGCAGCATCCCCATGATCACAAGATCAAACTTCAGATGCTTGGCAACTGACTCATATTGATGATGTTTGCAGAGTTTCAGGCAGGGGTGGGTTCTACTTGCCTTTACTACCAGTTCGCATTGTGCCTGCGCGCACAGATCACTTGCAGATCCGCCTGCGCAAATCACTTATGATGATGTCTGGGTCAGTGGGCAGAGCCTCCCGCCGGTTTTACTGCCGGTTCTATAGAACCGGTCTGAAACAGGGGCAACCCACCATTGGTTCCAGGTCATGGGATCACTTTTTGCAATCTTCTGACAAGCAAAGTCAATGGGGAAGCCAGGTTCACTTAACAACCTTGTTACTAATTTAACAACTGCAGTGATTCACTTAGTAAATGTGGCAAGAAAAGTCATAAAATGGGGCAAAACTTTCTTAACAAATGTTTCACTTAATAAAAATTTTGGGCACAATTGTGGCCGTAAGTCGAGGACTATCTGTACAATACTGCTTGTAAATATGTTGCACCTGCTTATCAGAAAAACACTGGATCATAGTGTAGCCATTACTGGTTTCTTAACTAGTATATAGAGTACATTTAGCACTACTGATTTGTGCATTTGCAGGCCATCTTTCGGTGTATATCTAAACATCTAATGCGCTTAATGGTCTGTAAGCAATCCAGCATGACAGCTTCAAGTAGTTAAATGGACTTAAAGGATGGAAAGAAAGATTTGCCAGTCAAAGCAAAAGAAACTGGGGTTTGAAGAGAGAAGAGATTCTGTGTTTTGTGCAAAGGTTTGACTCTTTATGATGTACAGTAGGAAAGATTAGACTGATTGCTGGGCTGAAATTTAATTCCAATGATGACTGTCCATCACTGTTATTGGTGAAAGACTCCAGTGAAGAAGCAAAGATGGGAAATAATTACATTTTGTGGAACCAGCAGTGGCTGTGTCTCATCCTGCCATCCTCTGTCTCCAAGGAGAAGCAATGCCCTCCTGTTCAGAAATGAATCCCAGAATTTGATTTCACTTAGAATTGCGCTGTAAGATTTATAAAGGATAGAAATTATTATTCAATTATTTTTCAAGAGAGACACGACCATCCTATATCTTCTACTTAGCAAATTCTCAAAAAAGCACAACAAAGAATGTTCTTTCTGCATCAAGTCAGGAAGCTCAAACTGCCCAAGGAACTGCTGATACAGTTCTACAGAGGAATTATTGAGTCTGTCATCTGTACCTCTACAACTGTCTGGTTTGGTTCTGCAACCCAACAAGACTGACACAGACTTCAGAGGATAATTAGAACTGCAGAAAAAACAATTACCACCAACCTTCCTTCCATTGAGGACCTGTATACTGCATGAGTCAAAAAGAAGGCTGTGAAAATATTTACAGACACCCTCACATCCTGGACCCTAAATTTTTTTAACTCCTACCCTCAAAACAACGCTATATAGCACTGCACACCAAAACAACTAGACACAAGAACAATTTTTTCCCCGAACGCCATCACTCTGCTAAACAAATAATTCCCTCAACACTATCAAACTATTCACTAAGTCTGCATTACTATTAATCTTCTTATTGTTCCTGTCGCCCAACTCCTCCCACTTATGACGGTATGATGTAACTTTGTTGCTTGTATCCTTACGATTTATATTGATTGTTTCCTAGTATGATTTGATTGCTTATTTGTTCCCTATGACTATCATTAAGTGTTGTACCTTATGATTCTTAACAAATGTATCTTGTCCTTTTATGTACACTGAGAGCATATGCACCAAAGATAAATTCCTTGTATGTCCAATCACACTTGGCCAATAAAGAATTCTATTCTAATCTAATCTAATCTAATCTAATCTAATCTAATCTAATCTAATCTAATCTAATATAATATAATATAATCTATTTATTTTTCTCTTTGTAGACTTCAAGTTTTGGGCATGAAATTAGTTTTCTTCATGGCCAGCTTAAATCCCTGATCCAAAACAAATCAGCGGAGCTTCCTATAATTTATCTGCAAGATGTAACAGGTGAGCTATTCACCTGAACCATATTAATATGCCCACATTATACAACTCATTTGTCTTTGACCTCTACATCAGCTGTATTCTCATATCTATCTTCACTAGACTGATTGTTCCAACCATATTCAGTAATTTGTGTTAAATGTCTTCCATACCAAGGAAGTAAAGATGAATTAATAGTTACTTTAACTTAACTAAAATTAATCCAGCTGCTGATACTCCATTCTCTCTAATCAGAAATGGCCAGTCCAGATAAGGAAAATATTAGAATGTGCAGAAATGAACAGATTAACATTAGCAATTAAGGAGAAAGAACAAACTGAATATTATATGATATGGGAAGTATTTTATCAATGGTTGGAGGATAAAAAAGGATTTCGGAAATGAAGAAGGCTAAAGAACAAGTAGAAAATACATTAAGATAAAGATATAAATAAGATGAAAATTGTTAGTATATGTATGATGAGAATAATGATGTTTAATGTTAATATGGTATTATCACTAGAGGATATTAAGAAGAAAATGGAGAGCTTTACAATGTTTAAATGTTTAATATATTATAATATTAAGTTTTGAGAAATAATGTGAATGTGAATGTAAGTGATGTGGCAAATGGTGAATGATGTTGCATAGAGATGTTTGTACCCAGATGACACACTGCATAAGGAAAGATGGAATGCTTATCTTTGTAATTGAAAAATAATAAACTTTTTAATAAAAAAAAAGAAGTGGTCAGTCCAGGGATTGTATGTGGCCTTCCAAAAATGTTTGTTGTTGCTTCTTAGCCATGTTGCTACCAAGATTGTGCTGCCAAAATCTATAAGCAAGTTCCTAAGCAAATCCTTTCCCCCAAACATTTTTAGGAAAAGGTTAAAAACTCCTAGCTAAAAACCTAACTAAGCAATTGTATCTCCAGGTTGTTGACTCCTGATATATACTACTCATAGGGAAGCCTAGGTCCCACACAAACATTGTATAGTTATTCAGTAGCAACAGCACTTAGACTTATATACTGCTTCACAGTGCTTCATAGCTCTCTCTAAATGGTTTACAGAGTCAGCATATTGCCCCCAACAATCTGGATCCTCATTTTACTCAGAAGGATGGAAGGCTGAGTCAACCTTGAGCGGTGAGAATCGAACTGCTGGCGGTTAGCAGAATTAACCTGCAATATTGCCTTCTAATTATTGCGCCATCATGGTTCTATGTCTTAATAACAGTTCATTCTAATGTTGTTGTTGTTGTTGTTGTTGTAGTGAATCTTTTCTTCCTCTCCTTGTTTCTCTTCCTTTCTTTGATGATGTCTTTTCCTGATTAAGAGAAGGAGAGTCAGGACAGAATACTATCTTTTACAATGCTGTTTGCACCAAAAACTTAGCCTATTGAAAATATATACAGCATGTATAAATAATCATACATTTCTGATACGGTTCTCTGAGCCCAATTAAAGGATATTTTAGAGTAAAGTGAGCCTGGAATTTAATAAATGGTTTCCAGATTGCACTTCAGATATGGAACTGTAAGTAGCACTAATTAATCTCAGTCTAAATAGCCTATCCTGACTATGTCAATGCACTGTGGATATCTATTAATTGCTGAACACAGACAACATTATACTAGCTTGCATGGTAGACTCTAAGTTAGAGATCCTGGCTTATATAGATGAGCATAAAGCATGCATGGATAAAAAGGGGCTTTGATTAAGTTTGTAGTACACTGATTGAAATGTACAAAAAAATACATAAGATATGTACAGTTCTTTTGCTGCAGAAAACCTGCATACAGAAACTGATATATCCCAAGCTGAAAACTTGGTCTACTTTTTCCATTATCTTGCTAAAAATTTGGATGTGAAAATCCAAATTCACCAAAGCCATGATGGATGGTAGAAACAATTTGTAGAGGCTCATCTGTTAACAGCGTAACATATGAAAAGTTACAATTTGTAATGTATGTAGGAATAAATGGCAGTGTGAGAATTAATGACCGAAAAAAAAGAAAATCGAAAAACTAAGAGAAAGGAGATAGGTATAACAACTGAAGAAGATAGTTTGATCTATTTATTTATATATTTATTAAATGTACAGTATATGCCACCCATCTCACTGGGTTCTGGATGGCTACTGGATTCTGGATGGCTAGTAGAAATGATAAATTGATGACACAGGAAAATAAAGGTATAGGTTTAATTAGGAATGAAATAGCTGAATGTATGTTGAAAGAATGACTTGATGTCATCTTGGGTATGGATATGAAAGTAGGGATTTATAAGTTGGTGGCATGTGTCTGCATCAGGGGTGAAATTCAATTTTTTCCCCTATTGGTTCTGTGGGTGTGGCTTGGTGGGCGTGGCAGGGGAAGGATATTGCAACATTTCCATTCCCACCCCACTCTGGGGCCAGCCAGAGGTGGTATTTGCCGGTACTCCGAACTACTCAAAATTTCTGCTACCAGTTCTCCAGAACCTGTTAAAACCTGCTGGATTTTACTCCTGGTCTGCATGTTGCAATACAAGGTTAACAAGGGAAAAAACAGAAATGAGTTTTGATTAAAATTGCACAAAATGGAGCATAATAATTGGATCCAAGTGAAAATATAATTCTGGGGGTGACATGAATGGATGGCTGGAATGAGATGTGCACAGAAAAAGTGACTGATTACTCAGAGATCTAAGAATGAATTAGAAAAATATTTATTTAGTCTGTATCTATTTAAACAATATTTTGAATATAAACATCAGTATATTCATATATGCATATGAAAAAATGAATGAATCAAGTGTAATTGATGAGGTTATTTTTGATAAAATATTGAGAGAATCAACAAAGGATACAAAGATAAAGATGATTATGATGACTACAACAACAATATGCTTTTGGGATGTGTGTGTGTGTGTGTGAAAGAAAGAGAGCGAGATAATATTACTGCAAAAATGACAGCAAGGAAAGGTTATGTTTATAAAAGGCTGATAAAATGCAAAACAATTTTAATGAGAATGAAAAGTAGTTTTGCAAGAGGGTAGAATAGGTTAGCCTGGACCACTGTAACGTTCTCTACATGGGGCTCCCCTTGAGGAGCACCCGGAGGCTCCAACTGGCGCAGAGTGCGGCCGCGCGAGTGGTTATGGGAGCACATGGTGCTCCCATGTGACACCTCTCCTGCGCGAGCTGCACTGGCTCCCGGTGGTCTTCCGGGTGCGCTTCAAGGTTTTGGTTACCACCTTTAGAGCGCTCCATGGCTTAGGACCTGGTTATTTACGGGACCGCCTACTACCACAAGCAGCCTCCCATCGGCCGGTACGCTCTCATAGAGAGGGGCTCCTCCAGGTGCTGTCAGCTAAACAATGTCGACTGGCAGCCCTCAGGGGGAGGGCCTTCTCTATGGGGGCACCCACTATCTGGAATGAGCTCCCCCCAGAGATACGTAGTATCCTGGATCTGCGCACTTTCCACCGTGCTCTTAAGACTCTCCTATTCCAGCAAGCCGGCCTGGCCTAATTTTCTCCCCTGTTTTAAAATTCTTGTAAATCGAAATTTTAATCTGTTTTAAATTATTGGGATTTTTAATTGTCTCGGGCTAAATTATTTAATCTGGTTTTAATTATGTTCTTAACTTTTGTATCTGTGTATTTTATTCTGTGCCTGTTCACCGCCCTAAGTCCTTCGGGAGTAGGGCGGTATATAAATCTAATAAAACATAAAACATAAACAAGGAGTCTCCCATGATAAATTTTTTTGGAACAAAGTTCAAGTAAGGGGGTCCTAGAAGAAGTATTTCATAGATTTCTATTTGAGAATGATAGCAATATGTGAAAGACTGAAACTGAAATTAATGCTAGGTTGGTGTTCAAGAAAAATTGATGGCAAGGAAGTAATGAATTATATGACAATGTTGAAACATAGTAAGGCTGCAAGTCTAGATAGCAAACCTAAACAACCATTAAAATATGAATGTAGTTTGTTTACATACTGTTTATGCAAAAGCTGTACCTGTGTTTGATTATTAAAAGACTGCTGCTTGCCTTATCTTATAAAAACAAAGATAGCAAGAGATAATGCACAAATATGAAAAATGGAAGACTTGATCATGTCCATCATCTTGACATTCTGAGTCCTCCTTGCCCAATACATTGGTTTTTCTTCAGATCATACAAATCTCTCTCCCACCCCCTTTTTTAAAATATTCATGGAAATTTTAGTAGCATTTTGATTGAAAATATACAAGAGGTAATAATGAACAAAATTTGGAAAATGTGATATGGCTTTATGCTGGATGCAAGGTGTGCAGATCAAATTTTTGCTCCCCTGAATGTCATTGAATGTATTAATCTGATAAAGAAATTGTATTGTCAGTTGTTGATTTTTAGACAAAGCATATGATAAACTGAATAGGGTTGAGTTAGACAATGTTTTATGTGAGCGTAATTGAAAGTTGCTTGTTGTTTAATATAGTTACAGAACTATAGTATATCATGGAAATAAAGCATGTGAAAGAACAAATTGAATGATAAGCAAAAGACTCTACACAGCAGGGAGCAAGAATGGGATTCTCCTTGGTTCTTTAATGGATTTCTGTAAGGAACATTTTTAGTAATGTCAGGGATATATTCATTGAGGATGTGAATGTACCCATAATTTTGTATGAGATGATGCTATGCTATTGGTTCAAGACCTGAATGATTAAGAGGTTCACATAGATGGTACAACAGAATGAAGATTATGGATTTGGAAATTAATGCATCAAAGGCTAAGGTAGTTTTATTTGAGAAGACAAATGGAATGAAAAATTATATGATATATTCATAAGTGAAAAAATTTAGAACTAGGAGATGAATGAGTTCCACCAGCTCGGAGAATGAACCTTTACCCTCAATTGGATTAGTGTTTTTGGAAATATCTTTATTAAATGATGGGAAAATGGATTAAGAAATGTTCACATGTGTAAATGCTGGTAGAGCATGATGTCCTTGAAATCCAATGGACTTGGTCCATTAAGTAAGTAAGCCTAATTCATACATATGGATGCAGTGGGAAGGACCTTGAATTCCCTATGGTGCTTGCAAGGTGCAAACCCTCTCTACTTTTTTGTCATAGCAGTGGGAATTTTATTTTATTTATTTTTATTTTATTTTATTTTGAATTTATATACCGCACCTTCTCCCGAAGGACTCAGGGCGGTGTACAGCCAACTAAAAACATACAATACAAACATTAAAAACAATTAAAAGGATATATTAATTTGGCCCCAATTTAAAATGACAAACCAGTTAAAAATGTTTTTTAAAAATGTTATGTTAAGCCAGCCTGGCTTGCTAGAAAAAGAAAGTTTTAAGGGCACGGCGGAAGGCACCGAGGTCTTGAATTCTCCTTATCTCTGGGGGCAGCTGATTCTAGAAGGTAGGTGCCCCCACAGAGAAGGC